TAAACCCTAAACCCTAAGCCCCTACTGTGAACCCCTGCTGTTTGATTTTCAAGCCCGGGGCTCTTCAGGGGTCGGTGCCGGTGGTGGACCTTCATGGCGCCGGGGCCCGAGGGAAGCCGAAGAACAGCGTAATTTAGGGGTCTTAATACGGTTGATGGACAGACTCCTGCATGACCTTATATACCTAAACTATGGGATTTATGGTACTATACTATATTTGGGTCATGCAGAATTTTGTCCATCAACAGTAATTACCTCTACTATTTTGGAGTTTCTTACTATAATGATAGCATAATATAACCCCAAACCCTTTTGAAATTATTAAGGCCCCTACACTAGGGCTGTGGGGATTGTCGGGCTTCGGGGTGTAGGGCTTTAATCTCCGACTTGGTCCGGGCTGCTTGGTGAGATTCTGGAAACCCTAAACCCCTACACTTCTTTAGGCCCTGAACCCTTAAACCCTTAAGCCTGAACCTTAAGCCCCTAAACAAAGAATCCTAAAGCTGATGGGCTGAAGGCAGGGCCCACCCAAGCCTCCGACACCAGATTCTCACGTCAGAAATATCGCCGGTTCGAGGCTTAGGATTTAGGGTTCAGGGAGGTTCAGTTTAGGGCTTACGGTTCACCGGTAACCGAAAAGACCAACCTTCTTATGTATATATATATATATATAGATAGATAGAAACCATAATAAGGAACCCTAGAAAGGTAGGTCTTTTCGGCTACAGGTAGGGTTTAAGATTTTGGGTTTACGCTCAAAGAGCTAATATAGGGGCCAGTTACCTATACTATTTTGGGGGTTCCTTGTTATATTTATAGTTTAATGTACCCCAAAACCCTATTCCGATAATGAAGACCCCTATGCTCGACTGCAGGAAGAACCCTTGAGTCCCGACACCCTAACCCCGAAGCCCGAAACCCTAAACCCCTAAACCCTAAACCCTACACCCTAAACCCTGCAGCCTAAACATACAAAAATGCTTATTTTCTCCGCAGCGTTTCAGTCCGGTTTCCCTCTCGAAGCCTAGCAATGCCACCCCCGACGAACTTCGAGGTGCGAGCTTCAGACATTCCATTAGGGCATTCGGGTTTTAGGGTTTAGGGTTTAGGGGCTTGGGGTTTAGGGTGTCGGGTTTTGGGGTTTTAGGGTTTAAGGGTTGAGGGGTTTAGGATTTAGGGTTTAAGGCTTAAAGAACTTAGCACCAGTATGCCTGTCTACCCTAGATTCAAGCTCGTACGTAAGGGGTTTTGGGTTGCGCTTCCATTAAGGTTTTTGTGTTTTGGATTCAGGGCTTGAGGCTTGGGGTTCAGGGCCCTAAACCCTAAGCCCAAAACCCTAAGCCCTAAACCCTATACCCTAAACCTAAACCCTATACCCTAAACCCAAAACCCTATACCCTAGACCCTAAACCCTATACCCCAAACCCTAAACCCTAAACCCTA